ATCTTTATCTACCCAGTGTGTTTTCTCTCTTTTCTACCTCTTACCTAGAAATATGCTTTGTTTCCTCCAAACAAGCCTTAGAAATTGCTCTGAAACCAGACACTAAGCATGACCAAATGAGGAGGTACTTTGTGTTACATGAAAAAGAAAACACAAATGAAAATGTTTGAAATTTCTACATAAAGCCAGAGGTTGAATTTGTCTGTGTTCTCCACAAAAGCATCTAGCTAATTTTTCAGTTCAGCTTCAAAGAGAACAAACAAAATTTCAAAGGCAAGAAAATGTTGCCTTTCCATTTCTTCTCAAATTTCCCCAAATTAGGTTGCTTTAATAAAAGCAACTAAATTGTAAGGCACACAAAGCCCACAGAAGCAGATGTGAAGAATAATGCTTGAAACCTTACAAGTCCTATTTTTTTCAAGTATATACCATACTATTTGGGATGACCGATGTAATTTTGTAAAGGAAGTTTACTTGATATTGATTGCATATTCAAATAAGAAATGCAGGTGTGTGTGTGTGTTTTTAAGATTTTACTTATTTATTTGAGGGAGAGAGAGTGAGAGAGAAAGAGAGAGAGCACAAACTGCGTGAGGGGCAGAGGGAGAAGCAGGCTCCCTTCTCAGCAGGAAGCCCAACGCTGGTCTCAATCCAAGGACCCTGAGATCATGACCTGAGCCAAAGGCAGAGGCTTAACCAACTGAGCCACCCAAGCACCCCAATGCAGGTGTTTTTAAATAAGATTAATCACAGTATTATTGGAAGGAAGAAAATAAATTTCTGGAAATGTTCTTCAATGGACACTGCTTGCTTTGATACCAGAGCTCCTAACTGGAGTTGATTATTGAATTTTGGAGATTCAGTTATTAGGAAAGAAATATGACCAAATTATTGAACAAAATAATAAGTCCCATTAAGTGGAAGATCTTATTGTGAACAATTTTATTAGTGACCTAATCAATACCAGAAACAAACAAAAAAAAAACTGATGAATTTTATGTCATAGGGACCATGTCAAATGAATGCATTTATTGTCACTACAAACCTCATAATATACAATGCAACAGATATTATTCCATTTTCACTGATAAAGTAAAAAAGTCACAGAGAGATTGCAAACTTGCTCAAGGTACATAATCATAAAAATCTTTTCCTGTTGGTATAGATTTTCTCTTATATGTCTTATATGTCCTAGGTTTATATGTCTTACATGTCCTAGATTTTCTCTTATATGTCTTATATGTCCCTCTCCATGTTCAGCTCAAGCCCCTCTTCCCCTAAGAACTCTGGTTCCCATGGGCTCTCAGCTTGGTCCACCTCCTTCTCTGTGGATGATCTCATCCAAAGCTTCAATAGCTAATTGAAGACTAATGAACTCTCAAGGATATAGCCTCAGCTCAGATTTCACTCCAGCACTCCAGATTGGATATCCAATTATGTATGTAACACTTCCACTCGGGATACTTGAATCCTTCCACCCTCTATACTTGAATTCAGAATGCCTGAAGCTAACCTCACCATTGCCACTATACCTCCTGAACCAGTGCTTGAAATCTGGGAACAGTCCTGATTCCTCCAGAGCTTTCCCTTATCGCTGCCCCCTACACTCTATAAATCAAGCAGATTATAGCCTGTCTCCTCTCTGTCCCCACTCCTATAGCTTTAACTCAGGTTCCCACAGTTTCTCACCTGGATTACAATAGCCTCTCCACTGGCCTCCGTGGCCCTAGAGTAGACCCTTTCTATCCATTCTCCAGAGCCCATGTGAGAATCTGATCATGTCATTTCTTTATATAAAATAATAATAAACAATTGCTTCTCACAGCTTTCAGGATGAAGGTCAAATACATAAAGCCCTTTGTGATGTGTCTTTTATTTTGTCCCCTGGCTTTGTTTCCCATAGCACTCATTGCCATGCACTGATTATTTATTCACTAAAATTTATAAATTCCGACTATGTGCCAAATTTTCCAGACACAGCAAAACATTTTTACCAAAACATGCCATGTCCTTTAGTGCCTCTGACTTTCTCTTCTGTCGTCCTTATGCCTAGAACACACTTTCCTCCATTGTTCACTCTCCCTTCTCAACAGACACAATTCACATCCAGCAGCACCTCTCAAGGGAGCCCCCCTTCCTCCCTCCAATGGGATATGTGCTGTTCCTCTTTTGCACCCCCAGCATTCACTCTGCACCACCCTCTCTTACCCTACCATGAGACCAGGAGCTTCCTGAGATTGAAGGGTTTGTGTTATTTAATTTTGCATCCTCTACACTTAGTAGAATGTCTGGAGCATGATCGGAGGCACTGAGCACATATTTATTGAATGAAGAACAAACCAAGATTTAAACCTATGACCATCAGATCCTAAAGTTTATGCACTTTGCACTATAATATAGCAACACAATATAGCATGATAGGAGAAAATCAAGAAAAAAGAAAACTCTCCAAAGTGATGTTTTTAATCCAAAATAAGCAAAACCAAAATAAGCAAAACCACACTATTTTATTATCAAATTGATTTTTACTTAAGGAAATATTTACAGTGGATATTTTCCTATGTCGTTAACAAGCTTATGACATAATAACAAATTTGCTCTCAGCACAATACTCAAGGTGAAAACGCAGGTTGTTGTTGCTTGGTCATTGCAGTAGGTGTATGGAACTGACTATGAAGTGGTCCCACACACACACACGTGGGAAGCATGAGGTCGGATAAAAACTAGCTAACCACCTTTAAAACAGAATAGAGAGCATCATTATTCTACATTAGTCTCCATCAAGATGTGGCTAAATGCTTATGCAGAAGTTAGCCATGCCTGAGGAAAGGTTAGCCTGTTGCCTTTATTGTCATCCACCATCTACCTGGCAGCTTCTACTAAAATGGTATTTAAATGTCTGTAAGAAAACAACCACCCTCTGAAGAGATCCCAAACCTGCATGCCACAGTCATACCCTCAGCCAGCTCTGGGAGAGAGAAACCATCTTTCTCTATGTTACCCAAGCTATGATAATATACGCATAGAAGGTGCCAGACATGGTGTTCTCGTCACCCCCAAATGTGGAGAAAGAAGAAAAGAGGAAAGAAAGGCTCACAATATATCCATTTTCATTTCCTTCTCCACCCCGGTCATGGCCATGGCCATGGTTTATTTACATGAGTCAATAAATAAATTCCTCTTCCTGTGTTTTTTTGCTTTGGTCATGTTTGTCATAACCAACCAGAGACGTTGTTACAATACCCAGGATTTCAGCAGATTCAATGAACTTTAGTGATTACATTTTTCTCTCCAGAAATAAACATTTTTCCAAAATAACCTTTTTAGGGGAAATCAGACTTTTTAACAGTTTTCACATGCTTGGGATGTAGCCTATTTCTACACTCATATATCACCTAGGCTCAAATAGAATAATTAACTGAAGGGTGCCTGGGTGGCTCAGTTGGTTAAGCGACTGCCTTTGGCTCAGGTCATGATCCTGGAGTCCCGGGATCGAGTCCCGCATCGGGCTCCCTGCTCGGCAGGGAGTCTGCTTCTCCCTCTGACCCTCCTCCCTCTCATGCTCTCTGTCTCTCATTCTCTCTGTCTCAAATAAATAAATAAAATCTTTAAAAAAAAAAAAAGAATAATTGACTGAAGACTTCAGGAATACCTGGCTGATCTCTTCCCTCTTGACTTCATGGTATCAAGAATTCTGAATCTGGAGGTATGAAACCTAAGTCGTGAATCCCATCTCTGCTAATCTGTAGTAAAAGTACCTATAACAGATTGATTCTCACATTCATAGAATAGGTAAAACCCTCCTGCATCCACATCACCCAGCTCTTATGAGGATCAAACAAAATGGATGGCATTACCATACTTTGTACAGCCATGCATAAGTAACTGCTATTAATCACTGGCATTTCTCAAGACTAAATCTTTGAATTTTTGATATCTTTTCTAAAATTCTCTCCCTTGAAGGACTAACCGATTCGATTGCCGTCAACTACCACCTTCTTGGCCCTGGATCCCCCGTCAATACGTTTTTTCCTGTCTTCTCACCTCAGCTAGTTTAACAAACATTTCCTTTTTAAAATCCTGACATAGGGGTGCCTGGGTGGCTCAGTCAGTTAAGCGTCTGCCTTCAGCTCAGGTCATGATCTCAGGGTCCTGGGATAGAGCCCCGTGTCGGGGGCTATCTCTCTCTCCCTCTGCCCCTCCCCCTTGCTTGTTCTCTCACTTTCTCTCTCTCTCATAAATAAATAAAAATCTTTAAAAAAAATAAGATAAAATCCTGACATAACCTCAAACTGAGCAAGTCTAAAATCAGACTTTTCCCCAAATCCATGTTCTTCTGATCTTCCATTTCTGGCTTTGGGCTGTTCATCTTCTACGGGGTCCTGAAGTCACCTTCCATCCATTCCTCTCTATTGATCAGACCCAATCATAAACCAGTTTCTACTGTGGTCATGTCCTTATAAATTTCTCTCACATCTGTATTGCTGCTCTTCTTACTGCCCCCATGCAACACTAAACTGTCATCACCTTTTGCCTAGATTACTATACCCTAACTGACTTGTCTACTCTATTTTTCTACCCCATGCACTATCTCCTCTCTACCAGTGTCAGAAAAATCTTCTACAAATCTTCTTCCTGGGAAGTTACTGATCACATATATATATATTATATATACACATGCACACATTGCAATTCTGCAATGTAAATGTCTTTATTTATTTGAAAGATGAGGAAGCTGAGACTTAGAGATATAAAATTACTTGCCCTAAATCATGTAGTTATGATGTGGAAAAACAGAAGTGAACCTAGTACCTCTGCCTCCCAAACTGATAATGCAAGGTCTTCTGCTAACTTGTCACATCTCAGCCCTTCCATCAAGGGCTGTGTGGCTTCCTTTCACTCTTAAGCATCTTCTGATTCTCCCCTTACCTTCAATCTATGCTTTCCTACATGGCATTAAGGCATAATGGCATTATGTCTGACAAAGAGATTGTGAATACCTTGATGGCAATGTTCAGATCTTCAAGTTTTCCATCTCTGTATTATTGTCTGCTCCTAAAATAAAGTTGAACATAGCAAAAAAGAGAGACAGAAAAAGAAAGAGGGAAGGAGAAAAGGAGGAAGAGAGGGAAGGAAAAAGGAGAGAAGAAAATCAAATTTTCTAAAATTCTGATAGGAAACAAGATGCATTATCATCACTTCTCAGAATAAGGCCCATAGATCCCCTGCATCACATCCCCAGGAGGGGGGGTCCCAGGGTCCCACCCCCACTGATTCTGATTCGGGAGCAGGAGCTCTGACTCTGCACTAAGAGCCCCGGACAATTCTTATGCACACTACAGACTACAAATCACTGAAACCTGAAATCTCTCCTTGTTTTTGCCACAAGACAGAATTTTTAAACAGCATATTCTATTTGTGCCCCTTGAGAGTAAACAAACATTTAATAGGAAATGTGCCTAATTCCTATGACTATCAATGGATGAGACTGACACCTTTTTCTCATTTTCTCTTTCTTATGGAAAGAAGAGCTCCTAATTAAAACCTCCCACAGAGCTGACAGTGAACCTGACAGGTTCAGGCACCTACACTGTCTTATTTTCTTTCCCGATTTTGTGAAGGAAATGTGACAGAAGACAGTGAAATCTTTTTTTTTAAAGATTTTATTTATTTATTTGACAGAGAGAAAGAGCACACGCAGGGGGAGCAGTGGAGGGAGAGGGAGAAGCAGACTCCCCGCTGAACAGAGAGCCCAACGCAGGGCTTGATCCCAGGACCCTGAGATCATGACCTGAGCTGAACGCAGATGATTAATGACTGAACCACGCAGGTGTCCCAGAACTTTATATTTTTTAATTGAAGTACCGTTGACATACAATTTTATATTGGTTTCAGGTGTTCAATACAGTGATTCAACAATTATATATCTTACCAAATGCTTACCGCGGTTAAGTGTAGTTACCATCTGTCACCCTATAAGCTTACTACAATATTATTGACTGTATTCCCTATGCTGAATTTTCATCTTATTTGTTTTATAAATGGAAGTTTGTACCTCTTAACCCCCTTCACCAATTTCACCCACAATCCACCCCCTCCCCTCTGGCAACCACCAGTTTGTTCTCTGTATTTATGAGTCTGTTTCACTCCCTCTTTTAAAGACAGCACAAGAACAGGCTGTGAATTGAAAACTTTGTGAGCAGATTTTCAAATGATGTGCTCAAACTGCTGTTTTAGTTTGGAGGATACACCAAGTTAATAAGAAAAAAAAAAAAAAGCTTCATGATGGTTTCCTATGTTGAACCATCTATATCATTTTAAAAAGGGGAGGAGGACATTACCATATACTTTAAGTTTGTTCGTTTTGCTTTGTTTAGCTTTTTGTTTTGTTTTTAATTATAAAGATAATTTTATCCTTAAGAATTTACACTCCCTCCACTGACATGTATTATAAGATGACGGGTTCACCTGAGGCCCTTTGGTCAATTGTCATTAAAGAGGGATTTGATCTAAGTAATCCCAACTGAAGCAGAAGCTGTGGGGGATAAGGCCGGCCTAGGAATCAGAAGTCCCAGATCTTATTTCCAGTTTGGTCACAACTTTGGGGTCTTTATATAATCCCTCCAGAACTCACTAGCCTCTCTAATAAATGAGAGGAGTGGACTAGATTAAGGGCCACAAATTCAAAGGTTTCTCAGGAGCTGCGCAGTTAAAGCAAGCATAGGAAGCAAAATGGTAACAGAAGATGACAGGCTGTAGTGGTGATTATCAGGACTGGATTTTATGCCCTCTCAAAAGGCATCTGAATTGGGGCTCCTGGGTGGCTCAGTCAGTTAGGTGTCCAACTCTTGATTTCGGATCAGGTAAGGATCTTGGGATCCTGGGATCCCAGGCTCCACACCTAGTGTGGAGCCTGCTTAAGATTCTCTCTCTCCCTCTGCCTGCCCCTCCCCACCCTTAAAAAAAAAAAAAAGCATTTGAATTGGAAATAATTTTAAAGCACTATGTTTTAAACCTCTGAAAGTCAAATTTAGCCCACAAGCTACTTATGATCTCTGAACTAGATAGTTTTTCAAGTACCTTTGAGCTTTAACCATGTGATTCTAAAATAATAAGTAATGGGGTGCCTGGGTGGCTCAGTTGTTAAGCGTCTGCCTTCAGCTCAGGTCATGATCCCAGGGTCCTGGGATCGAGCCCTGCATCGGGCTCCCTGCTCAGCGGGGAGCCTGCTTCTCCCTCTCCCACTCCCCCTGCTTGTGTTCCTTCTCTCGCTTTGTCTCTCTCTGTCAAATAAATAAATAAAATCTTAAAAAAAAATAACAATTAATGGTCATTGAAATCACCTTAAAGCAAAGATAAAAGTTAGCATCTATCTAGTTCTTACTCTATGCCAGGCTCTTAGCTAAAGACTTTACTTATAGTAACTCATTTTAATCTTCCTAATTTCTCAGTGAAGTGGGTATGTGGTTATAATCCCTCTTTTCCAGAGAAGAAAATCGAAGCACAGAGTTTAAATAACTTATCCAAGCTATCCCGTATGTTTCCGTTTTGCAATTGCCTTATGTTATCCTCAAGTCTTGTGATTACAATATGTTAATTTTGCTTTGGATTAATTTTTTTTAAGTATAAAGAAACCAGAGAAACAGTTATTACTTGCATGAGCTTGCTCCCTGGAAGCAACACAGCACTCGTGACATTCGGCAGATTTTCTATGGTCAGTTTTCTATGCATTTTGAATCCCAAGATCATACTGTATACTTTAGATTATTTTTACTTTAGGTTTTTAATTGATATGTTTTATGCTACATATTGTCGGAAGCATTTCTCCATGTCACAAAAAATCCTTTTAAGTCTCATTTCTAATAAATGCCTAAAATACCATTAAAAAAAAGAATTACAATAGCACTATGCAATAGAGCAAACCAGGCTTAATCAATTTTAAAATGGATTAAATATTCAAGTTATAAACTTTAATCAAGAGACTTAATGAAAGCTAAAAGTAATATTTCAAATTTAGGTAATATTTTATATATTAACATTATTTAATGTTCTCTCCATAAGTAATAAATAATCAAAGTTATTTTTGATGTCTCTAAATTACTGAACTAGCATTGTGTACTTAGAGGACTAGCTGTTATTAACAAACTAGAGAATAAGAACGGTGGTAAATTTTCACAAAAAATGAATTATCTAAAATGTTAATAATTTTTAAAATTAAGAAGTGTTCGATCGATGTCATCTGTAAGTTAATAAAGTCATAGAATCAGAATAATAGAACTAGAAGAGATTTCTAGAAACCAACGGACACTGTTCCTTGACCCATTAATTGGACTGTATCATAGCTGCAATCAGATCACAGGAATTAACAATTTATTTTAATCCAAAATACCAAATGAGATAATCATTAAAATTTGATCATTTGTATTTCTGGTTTCTGCTCCAACATGTAAAAGCTTGGAAGTTGTCACTTCCATCCTTGCAACAAGTAAAAGCTGGACAAAATTAAAATCACTGACTTTTGGGGGGTCCATCAAAGAACTGAGGTTTCAGGGCAAACTGCCACCCTGAAACCTAGGGAGACAGATGGATTCAGGGAGACAGCTGAGCTCTGCTTACCTAGAACCCAAGTCTTTGGGAGCCATAAGTGGATAGGACATTTAAATGGTAATTTTGATAAAATGCTGGAAGCTAAATGTAGACTAGCATGACAGTGTGCAAGTCCAAGAGCTGCTGTTTTAGGGGGATCTCCACACTTTCATGAGTTTTACTTCCAGGAACCACAACAGGTTCTCACAGTGAAGGACCAAAAAAGATCCCTCCAGGCTCTGCCAGGCATTGGGGGGGGGGGGGGGGGAAGAGTAACCCTTGTGAAGTGCAGTTGGAGCTAATACCCCATCATTAAGTGTGGGCTACACAGAGTGCTTTCCTTCCAAAGAGCATAGCAGGAGAAGTAGGGAAAGAGGGTGAGTATACAATGCAGAAACCTAACAAGCACTGCCTCAGCTAGGCAGTCAAGTTCAGCTTCAACTGTGAAAAGTCAGGTCCATGGCGGGTACCTTTACACGATATGATGAAAATGGAGCTTTACCTCTGTGTCTTCCTCCCCCAAACACATAACCCCAGTATGATCATAAGAAAAACATTGAACAAACCCCAACTGAGAGAAATTCCTTATCTGTGCAATATTCCCCCAAATTATCAAAGTTATCAAAACCAATTAAAGTCTGAGAAACTAAATGTACTGTGTTATCTTACATGGGATCCTGGAACAGGAACAGGACATTAGGTAAACACCAAGGAAATCTGAATAAACTATGGACTTTAGCTAATAATAACGTATTAATATTGGTTCACTAATTGTGACAAATGTACTATACTAATTTTAAGATGTTAATAATAGAGGAAATTGGATGTGGGATATATGGGAAGTCTCTATATTATCCTCACAATCTTTCTATAAAAACTATTCTAAATAAAACATTTAATTTTTAAAAAGCAAAGCCTAATAAACATGAAAAAATCTAACACTAGTAATGAAAAGCTTACAAAATAATGTAAATATTAATAGTTTGCTGTAACTCAGGTAATTATTAATTAAAATTAAAGAATTGGATGTTGTTCCCTCATTAAAGACCAATTTTCAGCTTGGTATGTGGTCTCAAATATATTGTGCTTACTATAATTTTTATTGAAATTATAGTAGAAAGCAAAATGACAGTCTTGTTTCTATTTCTATTCTTGTTTCAATATTTCTATTATTTGATAAAGAAACACAGTTGCTCCAAAGAAGGATACAGCTCATTCTTCTTCCCCTCGTCCAAGAGAAGAGTGGGAAAATACCTGGTAGAGCATTTTCCAAAATTAATTTCACAAAATCACAAATTTTTTCCACAGGAAAAACAGAAAAGCAGAATGGGAGTTTTTTAATGAAATATTACATTCCTCTCTTGAAGAGCCATGGTGTACTTCAGCAGAAAAGACTGAGAAGTCCTAGAGTAAAGACACCTTGTGTGGCCGTCGTACAGTTTTTCACAAAGCACATATTAACATTGAAA